TAATTTATTTAAATTTATAAAATAATTTACTTGTACTTTACTTACTTTAAAACAAGCAAATATTTATTTAAACACAATTTTTACATTTAAAAAATTTTCTTCTTGTAAGGAGATCATTTTTTCTAGAAACTCACAATTTTACAGCTTATTTTACAAATTTAAAAAATATTACTTTATATTTATTATATGTTTTTTAAAGTGTAACAAATATTTTTTAAGTTAAAAAGTTATATTTAACAAAATATATTTATTTGGTTTAAAGAATTTTCTTCAGTATACATTAAACAACATTCAGTATATAATTTAAATTTTGATTTTCTTATTTCTTTATTCATTTAATAATTACGAATAATTATATTTGTTTTTTTCATGTGTAATATTTATAGAAATATTTACAAAATATTACTACAAATATTTATTTTTTACTTACTATAAATATTATACAAAATATTTAGCATATATTTTAAATAAAGATTTATTTTAAATTATAAAATAATAATATTTTGAATAAAGATTTTGATACTTTTTTCTTTATGTGTATAAATATTTATAAAATATTTATATAATATTTTTAAAAAATAATTCGAAATAAATATTTATGAGTCTTTATCATAAATATTGTGTGCTGTCTGGATAAACCGTTAAAACATAATAATATAATAATATAATAATACAAAACCATTCTCTAACATATTCTGAACTTTGTTTCATCTTGAACATATATCAAAAGTCCATAAGATATACTGATGAAGATAGCCGTTTCATGTTCAAAATCGGATGTTCTGTGGACGTCTACTTTATATCCCTGGACATACAGATATATAATTGACATAAAATGGATGTTCTATGGATGTCTTGTGCTGTCTGGGAAGTTATATTTTTTTGAATGAAGTAACTTTTTCGTAAATTCTTATTAAAAAATAATTAAAAAGTTATATACAATTTTGTCTTTTTTTAATAATTAGTTGAGACTTGAAAGATGCTACATGAATTTTTTTCGGAATTTTTCAATAATTTTTAGTTGATAAAAAAATGTGTCAAATATGAGTAACCCTCTTATGTACTATTAAGCTGAAGATTATCTATACTATTCATCATAAAGATTAATAAAATGTTTAATGAAATTTACATCTTTATTCCACAAAGATCTGTGTAGAAAATTAAAAGAAACAAAGAAAATTGAATAATTGCTTTTTTATCAGTAGAATAATATTTTTCTGAGTACATACATAGTAACAACACCAACTAACAATAACATGTTTTAATTTTCTATTTAACAATATAATTGTTATATACAATATATGTGATATTGCACTTACATTGTTAAGCGAGAAATTTTACTATTGACATAATGTTATTCTGGATTGATGTTTACTGGGTAAAAAGCAAATTCCCCTATTAGATATGGGGTATTACAAAATTTCTCAAAGGGAATTGTTGCAATTTCCAATTATCTGACTGTATGATCACATTAATCACGTAATAGATGTAATAAACTTTAAAGAAAAACCAAAAAGTCATAGATGAGTGTTGACGATCCATAAATACGTCGGCGCCGGCCCTCGATAAGAATGTATCGTACATGGTGAAACGAACATTAATAGGTCGATACATCGAGCACGAAAGTCAAGCTACCTTGACTGGAATGTAGATCCTGCGATTGGCGACCAACATTTATACCGTCGTAACACGATCGATTCTAACTTGCTGCGCTTGTGGAAACGGATGGCGTGTTGTATCGCCATAGCTTATTAATCGAATCCGATTTTCTCTTCCTACCATAGCTGTTATTAAACGACATCGCGGTTCTCTTCGCGGAGAAATTCATTTGCATAAAAAATTAATTTAAAACGCGGTACACACTGATAAATATGCAGCGCGAATATCTGAGACCCTCGATCGGGCATTATTGGAATAATTTAACGTCGTTATTCGTCCAAATGATTGTGGAAATATGCAATATTTAGCCTACAGCGCGGACAAAATATATCTAGAGTTTTATAAGCCACCGAAGAAGAGCCTGCCGTATTCTTTGAAGCAGAAACGAAGGAATGCTCTCGTTCGGTTATACCCGACCGATTCTCACGTAAGGAAAGGTATGTGTGAATGAAGTTTCGTGACTAGTGTCTGAACACTGTAATCGATGGAGATCGGCACATCGGAGTAAAGTCAGGAGATGTAGTATGTAAAAAACAATTTGTAATGGTTGCAGGTGAAGGAAGGTCCGCTGCCACAACTAAACATACACATCACAAGTCACAGTCCCACAGACACGAGCTCGTAGTACGAATCATAGTTGTATCTCTCTTTTCTTACTGTTAAACATTGTACAATTAAACATCGAGTTTACATTATCATTCCTTAGTTGTTCAACAGTGTTATTGACAATGCCTTATTCATCTGTCCTTTAGTGCATGTATGTATGTATAAGTGTACGGATACATGTGCGAGATCGCTAAAGTGCTAAAATTATATGACGAAGGTTTAGGTCGATAGTATTGAGATCACCGATATGAATATGATATATTCAGCAATAATTACATATTGATTTTCCGGATAACAGCCTCTGCAACTTTATCTTTTTTATCTTAAGCCAGCTTTTAACCTTTTGCTGTTCCTAAAATTTAACAAATAACCGAAACACGCATATACTACACATGTGCATATGTATATATATATATATATATATATATATATATATATACACGCGCGCGCGCACACACACATACACACACACACACACGCACGCACGCACGCACGCACGCACACGCATGCGCACACACACACACACAGGGGGAGCCAAATGTATGGATACACTCGAATAAATCTTCAGAACAAGATTTTCGGAAAAAGTAACCTCAACAAAAGTTGCTCGAGCCTAAAAGAACTATTTGCTGGTGACCTTGGATTTAACCTTGGCCCCAACCTTGGCCCCAAGATTATTTGGAGGTTAACTTTGCTTTTTTAAGTAGAAAAATATATTTTTTATTATGAAATTTTATTCTACATAAAAAAAACAAACTACTTTTATTAGAAAAACTTTCTCATACGATCTCTATTTTCTAAGATATTTACGGAAATATCTACAAAATTATTGGTTTCAGTAATGTTTTACTTGAATTCTACTAACTTTATCGAAAAATAACAAGAAATAAAAATTGTCTATTTTCTTCTTATAGAGCTCTGAGAATTTTTTAAGAATTTTCTAATTAATTTTTTAGTAATGCATTTTTTTGCATTTTTTTGAAGTGCTCAAATTTCATATAAAATTTCTCAGAGCTCTACGAGAAAAAAATAAACAATTTTTATATCTTGCTATTTTTCGACAAAGTTGATAGAATTCGAATAAAAAATTATTGAAACTAATAATTTTGTAGATATTTTCGTAAATATCTTAGAAAATAGAGATGGTATATACATTTTTTTCAAACAGAAGTTGTTTGTTTAATTACGTAGAATAAAATTCTATAATAAAACATACATGTTTCTATTTAAAAGAAGCAAAGTTAACCTACAAATAACCTTGAAGTTTGGGTCAAGGTTATATCGAAAGTCACCAGCAGATAGTCATTTTAGGCCCGAGCAACTTTTATTCAGGTCACTTTTTTCAAAAATTCTGTCCTGAAAATTTATTCGTGTGTATTCATACATTTGGCCACCCTGCATATATACAGGGTGTCCCGAAGTCCCATGATGACCCTTGGTGAGAACGTAGAACGGATTGAGGTGAGCAAGAAAGTCCTGTGCCGTTTTGCGATATTCGCAATAGTTTTTGAGAAATTAATTATTTTGTCTCAACAAATCAGCGTACAGAAAGCGGCAGCGGAAAGAAAGATGCCTTCGGCCGACGTGCGACCGTGACACTCGCGAATCGTATCTCGCCGCATCCCTCCGCCCATAGCTACGAGACATAGCGAGTCTATGTCTCGTAGCTATGGGCGGAGGGATGCGGCGAGATACGATTCGCGAGTGTCGCGGTCGCACGTCGGCCGAAGGCATCTTTCTTTCCGCTGCCGCTTTCTGTACGCTGATTTGTTGAGACAAAATAATTAATTTCTCAAAAACTATTGCGAATATCGCAAAACGGCACAGGACTTTCTTGCTCACCTCAATCCGTTCTACGTTCTCACCAAGGGTCATCATGGGACTTCGGGACACCCTGTATATACACACACACACACACACACACACACGCACGCACGCACACATCATATTATTAACTTATAAAATTTATACTTTTTTAGCACTTCTCTTTAAGATAAGTTAAATGACAATACATTTATTGTGACAAAATAAAATTAATTCTCACATATATCATAAGGGAGACACACGTATGCATGTATATCGACCCTAAACCCTCGCATGAACGGTCGACACATGTCCCATTCAGTACTTAACTCGACCAACTGCTGCCATTGATCAGTTATTGATCAATAGTTACCTAGAATTAGCTACACTTCGTTGTAGCTATGATTACGGTACTTCTCAAAAGGTTTTAATTATTCCCACTTGAGAGACGACTCTTTTGTTTTAGAACTTATCGCCTGTTATATCGCATGGAAATAATTCACTTCTTTCGACATTGAATCAAGATAACAGTCTAACGATCTGTAAACAATAGCAAGTCAAGATATAAATTTCCTAAGAGTTGTTTCTTTCTAAAATATTTAACTCTATTAACCCTCGAACCATTAACGATTCATAAATTCAATTATACGCGCAAACAAAGGAATAAATCCTACCACATGAACATTTCTTCTTGAGGCATTCTTCTGCGTACTAAGACAACAAATATTTTTTGTAATTTATTTAAGCCGAGGTATTTATCTAAAATAAATTCGAATGCAAAGTTGGACAAAGATGGTAAGCCGAATAGATCGAATCGGTACTGAATAAGCTGAGTAGACCAATTTAAATTGATCAAAATACCATGATCAGTGTATTATCTTCTATATGGATGGCATTATGTAATAACAAGAAGTAAAATCTAAAGGACGGACCGCGAAGGTGAGTGCGGAGGTATTGGTGCGGCGTGTAGTGGTTTTTGTTCTGGTTCTTGGGGTCGTTAGAGAAGGTCGACGACCGGTTTGTCAAGCCGGTGGTGTCACCAGGCCATCTCATTCCGCAGCAGAAATCAGCATCTGTAACACCCAACAGCCCTTGCCTACGTTTTATCCTTATTTGGTGCATTCTTTGGTCTATTTCGCTTAAATGTATGACTTCAAAAAAACAGTTGACTTTCTAAATCTCTTATCCGAAATTTGTTTTCTTCGTCTCATTATGTTTTGCTTATGATTAAACCTCGATCTATACGGCTTATATTTTTAACAATTAAAGCAAAGAAGAATAGAAACTATAATGCAAAAATTCTTATGTTCTCATGTGTGTATGAAATAGAAAAGAAAATTTACATATATTGCCTTCCATTTGAACTTTGCTATACTATTATACTTTTAACTTTACTGCTTATACTTTTTTAATAATATACCGTTGTAATTCGTTTGATAAATATGTATATTTATACAATCATATGATACTGTTTATGGGAAACAGTGTTTTTAGAAGAATAATGACAACTATATAGGTCTTTCAGTGTATGTGTGTTTCTATGATACCAAACAACCCTTGCCCACGTCACGCCTTTTCTCTGAAACTTTCCACAATAGCAGAGTTAATTATTGAGAAACTGTGTTATTTCAATTTTTATCATTATCAGCTAAGTGTAGTTCTTCATTATTTTCAAATATATTTACTATATTTACAAATTATATATGATGCTGGGCAGCTGCGGATCTAGAACACTACACAAAAGAATCGGTACTCTGTTATCGCGCGCGACTCGTATGAAGCCGTTCCACTGACGAAGTCTGAATAATGCAATCTTCATACAACTGAAATGCGCTCTGCTTCTTGAATACCTGACTTTTTCTCGGGGGACAATCTGGCTCATGCATTTGCAGCGCGATTTTTCTTTCGTCGCGTTAAATCTTGATTATCTATTCATATGAAACATTGCCGATATGAATCTTTCGGTGGAACTTTCGTGTTCCCGTGGTAGTTAAGCGCATATATAACGTTAGTAATTTTTGAAATGCTGATTTCATTTCCAGAACAAAGGAGCAACGATACAAAGGTATGTGGAAAATTAAGAAAGAGAAGGTTTCTTTCTCTCTCCCTTTTCTTTTCCCTCTCCCCTCCCCCTCTCTCTCTCTCCCCCTCATGACATTAGATCGTTAAATACGTAAAAATAGGTTATATATTTAAAAATGGATTCTGTGTACATGGTTCTATATATGTGTATATACAAAATTATTTTCTGTTTGCAACGAGCTCATTGTCGATCTCGTTAACTCTCCTAAATGTCGAAATTAGAAACTGATTAATTGATGGACAAATTATACGAATCTCGCTTCATGGGTCATAACGTATAACGGCGACAGTGCACTAGATATAAGTGTAATTTCTTAGCAGATGTTAATAACTAGAGGTGCTGGCACCATTTCCACACATATAAACACAGTCATTACTACTAACCACGTCTGCGATAGTTCGGCGTGGAGCCATTAATAACTTAGGCACCCCGCGGCCCTATAAAGTATTATAAATATTATCATCTGGCATATTTCCAATACCAATCGAATCGCCAGCGCGTAGAATCGCGATTCTGTCCGACTATATTCGTGCCATCGAGGAAACGTCTTTATTTTCCCAACGAATTAGTTAAATATATCTATCGTACTCCTTTAAAGTGAATCAGTAAAAGAATTTCTGATTAAATCAGTAAAAGCGGTGTATTTCACTAATAAGCAGTCAATATTCACTAATTTGCAGTGAAAATAATCCTCATTTTACTTTTTGATTGTATATTTCATTGATTTTGACCAGGTTACTCCCATTTTGGGAGTAAGATTTTACTGCGAAATGTATAGTACATGAATTCGTTATACGTTGCATGAAATCCAACTTTTTGCGTTCGTAGTAATGGAATTAATGGTTTCCATGCAATTTACGTGTGATGGTATCAGATTTGTTCGCGTCGTTTGCATTTTTGACACTTTTGCATCCAATATCCGTTGCACACTAGACGCAATAAGCGAAATCCAATAAGAACTTTTCTTTCTAAAGAAAGGTCAGTGTACGACGGGAGTTAGATGTATAAGTGTCAAAAATGCAAACAACACAAACCTATTAACTACATTTTCAAACTGTAAAGTCACTATTATTAACTGATCTTGTCAATGAGATTTTTTTGATTGCAGTGCTATAACCGAATCATCAGTTATAAGTATAGCACATTTCAGTGAAGAATATATTGATTGTATTTTAGAGAATACGGTAATTTTTTAACATAAGTCAGATTTGTGCGACAAGTGATGAATGAGCGTTAAATTACGCAGTGTTGCCTTATAATTTTGCGAAAACTTCGAAGAAGTTGTATCTAACGTAAATTTCCTTTATACTTAACATCCTTTCGGTAGTAACTTCAAAGAAAATCGTTTTCTCATGAGATACACGGGAGAGAGTCTTTCGCGAAGCGGAAACACCAAATCAAATGGATTGAATGTAGCACATGGATATTAGCTACCAGCACTTTTATCTGTCAGAGCTGACGAAGAAAGACACGCGCAAATTTTGTTTTAAGGTCGAGCCGACTTAAAAATTGACGAGGTAATCGGCAGATGAAAGAGGTTGGGAATGCTATTCACGCGCGAACGCACGGCGTTTGAAACGGACGCAACTGTTCGCTCGAACACACCTCCTCTCACTTGAATCGCGTTTCGCTTTCTCGGCCGCGTTTTCTTATCGCCTTTCTATGTATATTCCTTTCGCACTTCCTTCCTCTCATATTTTCGAACAGGTCGAAAGATTTATAGAGAGTACCCTTACGACGAGGGGTGAGCAGTGAGCTGTGGTTGTGTGGTGCTGTGTGGTGGTAGCGGTGCCGATGATGTTCGAGGTGCTCTGGATAGTCAAGGTCTTTAGGTACGAGGTCAAGGGTGTAGTCATCTTGACGGATGTGGGGTGGGGGCCTCAGTGTACCTTGGACCGGGGGCAGAAGCCGCTTGTCGTAACGCGCCGACAGCAGCAAGTTGTCCAGGATCTCCTTGTCCGACTTGCCCTCCTCGAAGCTGCAACACAATGCACTGTAGGCGCATTCGGAAGAAACCTGGCGAGTTCACGCCGTGGCAGCGGCGCGTTCTTCGCGAGAGAGCTTCCTGCAGGTGGCCTTCCGTATCTGGATACCTCGAAGGTCGTTTCACTCGACCACGGCGTAAAAGAAGGATATCGGAATGTAATCCAAGATTTGACCAATTAATGCACTTCGATCAAATTTAATAATAAATTCAAACAGAATCGAGGTTACTGATTCTTCTATTCAATGCAACATCTTATTGCCACGTAAAGGAACCGACGATGGAATAAGCAAATAATATTAAATAAAGGCTTATTTCTTATATAAAGCATTGCACTCTGATAGTAACTCGTAGAAATTATATTTTTTATGAAACTCGTTATTATGTAAACTATAACGGTCAAGCATATATGGAAATATAAACGATTTCCTATTTTGGTTTCCTGAAAGTTAAACATTGTAGTAATCGAGTTCCTTTTGCTTACTTAATATTAGAATGCCTAAGGGAGTTGACTTTTGTTGTGTTCTGACTCCTTTGAGGTTTTCTTGCTGTTGTCATTTCTATTTCTCATAATTTAGAAAAATCTTTTGTCTTTTAATCATTTTTAAAGTAGAACGCACTGAAAAAGTAACGGAAGAGATCGATGGTATTGACTATTTCATGATTCACCTCAGATGCCCAAAAGAGTCATTTTGAATTTTTATTTAATTATCAGTGTTATAAAGACAGTATGTAAACTATTATTTGAAATTTTAGTTTGGTAATCTCGATTAAATTTATATTTTATTCTGTATCCATTCATTAGTCGTCTTATATTTAGTATAGAAGACAAGAATAAGTAACAATTATAATGCATTTTATTGTAGAAAATTATGTTTGTAGAAAATTATGTTTAAAAGTCAGGAAGAAATTCGTGGAAATTATATTTTTTATGAAACTCGTCATTATGTAAACTATAACGGTTAAGCATATATGGAAATATAAACAATTTCCTATTTTGGTTTCCTGAAAGTTAGACATTGTAGTAATCGAGTTTCTTTTGCTTGCTTAATTAGAATGCCTAAGGGAGTTGACTTTCGTTGTGTTCTGACTCCTTTGAGGTTTTCTTACTGTTGTCATTTCTGTTTTTCATAGTTTAGGAAAATCTCTTGTCTTTTAATTATTTTTAAAGTAGAACGCACTGAAAATTGGATCTTCTAGTCCATGGATGTCTCCTGCAGTTTTAGTTAAAAAAAGGATGACGGTAGTTGTTTTTGTGTTGATTTTAGAAAAGTGAATAATTTAATTGTGAAAGATTCGTATCCAATTCCAATAATTATAATCTTTTTGTAATATTAGGTGTTCCGGTTAGTTTTGAGGATTTACTGTAGATGGCTATGACTACAAATCTACTGGAAACATTTTGAAAATGGATACGTTATATCAAAGCTAGGACATCTCTACAAACAAATTGACATGTTCTGTGCATTCGTAAACATAAACACATTGTTTAGTACAACTAAACATGGAACGTAATAAAGATCTTCGGCATCTATTATTTTACTGCTTTGATTCGAAGAAAACAGCTACCGAAGCTCATCTCAGAAACTTATTCTGAATCTGCTCCATCAGTTAAAACGTGTGAGTTCTGGTATCGACGATTTAAAAATGGTGATTTTGATTTGAAAGACAAAGAACGTTCAGGTCAATTAAAAAAGTTCGAAAATGCCGAATTGCAGACATTGTTGCATGAAAACTCAGTTCAAACACTTCAAGAATTAGCTACAACATTAAATGTTGGTAAATCAACCGTTTCTGATCGTTTACACGCAATGAAAAAGATTCAAAAAGAAGGCAAATGGGTTCCACACAAATTGTCTAAATTGGCTATTCAGAATCGTTTAACCATTTGCACTTCATTGCTTTCTCGTCACAAAAAGAAGCAATTTTTGTATCAAATTGTAATTGGCGATGAAAAATGGATATACTATGACAATCCTAAGTGTAAAAGATCGTGGATAAATTCGCCAACGGTCGACATCGACTCCAAATCTCAATATCCACGAAAGTAAAGTTTTGTTATGCATTTGATGGAACATGAAGAGCATCGTGTATTATGAGCTGCTGAAACCGAATCAAACAGTCACTGCTGAGCTTTATCAACGACAATTAATCGATTTGAATCGTGCTTTGAACCAGAAACGTCGAATAATAGCTCAAAGAAAACGCAAAGTGATGCAAGTTTTGTTGCACGACAATGTTCGACCACACGTTGCAAAAGCAGTTAAAGATATGTTATCGGAATTTCAATGGGAAGTCTTACCACACGCCGCGTATTCACCAGACTGTGTTCCTTCAGATTATTACTTATTTCGGTCGATGCAGCGATACTAATCAGCATTTCAAAACATATGTTGCAATAAAGAAATGGCTCGATGAATGGATTGCTTCGAAAGACGAACATTTCTTTTATCGCGGAATCCACTTATTGCCAGAAAAGTGGGAAAAAGTTGTAGCTAACGGTGGAAAATATTTTGATTAAAATAATTTAATGTCTCTCTAAAATATACGTGTTTCTTTTTTACACAAAATCCATCAAAACTAACCGGAACAACTAATATGTTAAACTAAAATGTCTATATTTTGAAAATTATGTTTTTCACATACTCAGAAGTCGTCACTGATACGATAATATCATTGATAAGAATCAGAATAACTCTATCGGACATTCAAAGGTGTCGTTCTCTTTGTAGTATTAAAATAAGTTCATGAATGTTTATATTCAATATACGGTCTTACAAGCGAAGGGCTAGGTACTCATGGATTTCGTTCAACTTCAGATATGTTTTAGTACTAACCTCGCACTAATTCGTGGACAAGTGACACGATGCAATACTCAAACATTCGCGAGAAATTTGCATCGAAATTTTCTCATGCGTCTTCTATACTGAATTAGCGAAAGAGATTAGCAGGTAGCAGCGTAGCGCAGCGAATAAGACGCAGGACTAAAACATTGCATGTTCAAATCTTAATTTTTCTGATTTTTTTTCTTTCTGATGTACATTTACAAAATATTGTAATATGTGAACACATATGGAGTAAAAAAATTAAATAATTATTAAATAATTTATAAATTTAATAATTGATAATTTAATAATATATAATAATTATTATTAAATTTAATGTTTAATACTTTAAATGTAATATTTTATTTTCGCATACTTTAACATCTGTAACCATATGGATAGTATCAATTCGCAATATAATTAAAGACTCCAAAATCATTTTTAAATCTACTTTATTTTCATGTATCGGAATTCTCTTTGGAATCCTGTTTGAAAAGTGTACAAATTTTTGGATGAAAATCATCAAAAAAACATTTGAAACACAATGTTGCTTTACACGAAGCACATTGAATAAAGCTTCCAAATATATGTTTTTTTTTTTCAAATTTGTTAAAGAAAAGCAGATGTTATTTACATTAAAAAAACTACTCCTTTCAGTCATTAATTTGGATTATATAACACGTTATAAACGACTGCTTGACTGACAATGGAGTGAACCAAACAGCCAAATTTAAAGCAAGGGCTACCCGTGTCTCTACCCCCTTTACCAGATAGAAAATAAAGGTTTTCGCAGGTGGCAGATATAGCTGCCTCATAATCGATTTTTTGACAACAGAAAAACTTCCATAGTAATAGAAAAGTAGTACTGACTAGTCATGTAACATAATGTAAAAATAAAATTTCTTGCAGAATTTTTAAATTTAAAAATGGCTTTGGAGTCTTTAATTGTATTGAGAATCAATACAATTCATATGATTACAGGCGTTAAAGTATGTGAATATAAAATATATTTAAAATATTAATATTAAATTTAATTATTAAATAATAATTTTTTTACTTCACATGTCTTCACATATTTTGGAAATGTAGATAAAGAAAAAAAATTAGAAAAATCAGAATTTGAACATGCAACGCGCAACGTGCTAGTCCTGCGCCTTATTCGCTACGCCGGTATCTGTTAAACACCTTCGCTAATTCGGCATAGAAGGTGCATGAAAAACTTTCGATTCAAATTTCTCGTGAATGCTTGAGTATTACATCATGCCACTTGTCCACGAATTAGTGGGAGGCTAATACTAAAGATAAATATTGATAAAAAGGGAGTCAGCTCCAATGATCTTGACCTTGATATATGTTGTAGAGGTTATCGTCCTGAATAACATAAAAAAGCTTCAACCGTCGGACGTTATTTGTTAAGAAGTTATTAACAAAAAAAGTTGCAAAAAATGAATGTAATTTTTCGACACCATATATACAAAAATATCAAATTTGTAGACTAGGAAGGTGCCTGCCCCTAGCGCGCACGCACGCACGCACGCACGTGAGTACGTGTCTCTATGAAAACTAAATGGTTAGAAAAAATTACGCTTACCGTTTACATATTACACTTAATATATTCGGTGTTGATATTAATGTACTTTTTTTTTGTGAATAACTTTTTAACAAATAATGAGCGCTAGTTAAAACATTTTGAATGTTACTCAGAGTAGCAGCAGGCACCTTCCTAGCCTACAAATTCTATGTTTTTGTATATGTAGTGTTGAAAAATTACATTCATTTTTTGCAACTTCTATTGTTAATACCTTTTTAATAAACAACGTCCGACGGTTAAAATCTTTAAAAGGTCACTCAGAAGAGTGACCTCTACAACATATGTCAAGATCAAGGTCATTCCCAGGCACATGGATATCCTATGGATACCCATAAAATGTCCTTTAAGGATATTGGGGATATCCATAAGCCATCCATTTTACGTCCTTCATTCAATGGACGTTTGTGGGATATCCGTATGAAATTGGAGGACATGCTGAAGTCCTCGACATGTTCACAGAATATTCGATGGACGTTCAATGGACATATAAAAGTAGCATCCGGATTTGTAATTTACAAGATAATTTTGTAATTTGTAAATTAAAAGGATAAATCATATATACCCAGACAGCACAAAATATTTATAAAATATTTACAAAATATTTATAAGATTTATTTGAATATTTTATAAATATTTATCAAAATATTTCATAAATATTTTTTTTACTTTAGCTTCAATAGATCATAAATATTTATCATAAATATTATAAAAATATTTATTAAAATATATACAATTATAGACTTTCTTTTTTCCTAAACTTTTCTTAAATTTATAAAATATATATGTTTTTAGTTTTCACTTTATATTGTTTTATATGCTACTTAATTCAAATTAAATTGTACTTCGAAAATTTGCTTACCATTCGAGATTCGAACCTGAGACCTCTTGTTCTTGAATCGTTTACCTTACCTACTGCGCCACTGTCATTTTGACTGACAAGGAAACGGTCGGGGGCGTCCCTCACCGAATTTGATGAGCATTGGATATGTTGTAGAGCATCAAAAAACATTAGACACGTATTTTTTTTT